CTCTCTCTCTCTCTCTCTCTCTCTCTCTCCCTCTCCCTCTCTCTCTCTCCCTCTCTCTCTCTCTCCCTCCCTCTGGGGGGCGGAGGTGGGATGGCATTCACTTCACAGCAAGACTCATATTCCAAACTCTTTGAGCCTCAATACCACTAAGAAGTTGAGAGATGAGAGTTGCAAATAAGTCCTGCCTGGGATTTCTGAATCTCATTTTGTGTAATGGCAGCTGGCACCTCTTATCTTGGAACCTCATCCAACACGAACCCTGAGATCATTCCAGTTTATCATTCTGTTAACAAGTATGTATTGAACGAGTGATGGAAAGCTCATCTGGGCTTGGCTTCCTCATCACTCCGTGAAGCAACCCCTGCTATTAGACCACATTCTAATACTGTCATAGGCACTACAGCTGGATTAGAAGCAGATGCAAACATAAAACACTGGAGAAAGTAGACACCAAGCAACTAAGACTCAAGGGCGTAAATGACTTCTAAGGTGGCCACTGGTGGTGCTGTTCATCTCATGACAGTGCTCTCTACCTCCCCACAGCTTATGAGGACATTGTACCGATGTGGTCTGGGTGTATGGTTATGTGATGCACACTGTGAAGACACATGGAGGAGTGCCTGTGTGTCTGTATGTATGTCTGTATGCACACACATGCATGTATCTAAAGGGTGACAGAGAGAAATAGGGGCCAGGAGAAGACTCATGTGACTGAATCTATGGCACATACACTGTCCTGCTTCTTTGAGCATAACATGACTTTTGTTCACATCTCAATATCTACTTTTTTAATTAAGTCTCCAAAGCTAAGATTAAAAACTCAATCACTGCTGCTCAGCCTTTTGGCTAAGATCAAGTGTAAAAATTTAAACATCAAACCAGGGGAAGTCACAGGGGTGCATTTTCAGCTAAAGAATCCCATTAAACTCATGACTGCTTAAAAATCACTGTACATTTCCTTCTGCTTGGCTGCCCAGATAAGGCTCCAGCCTCAAAAGCAGGTTTTCAGTGCACTTTCACTGGGAGAAGACCTCCGTGGCCTCTGTGGTTGAAGAACAAAAGGACAACCCTCAGAAGCACGTCTAAACTGGCTCTGTGACCCTTTTCTTTTCTTTTCTTTTTTTCTTTTTTTTTTGAGACTGGGTTTCTTACTATAGTGCAGGATGGCCTAGAACTTACTATGTAGCCCAAGCTGGCCTTAAATTTACAGTTGGCCTCAGCCTCCTGAGTGCTAGGATTAAAGGCATGTGCCTTTAATACCTGGCTTAGGAATGGTGTCCTTCCTTCTTTTTCTTTTTCTTTTTTCTTTGTGTGTGTGTGTGTGTGTGTGTGTGTGTGTGTGTGTGTGTGTGTGTGTGTGTGTGTTGGAGATTAGACTTGGGGCCTTGGGCATGCCAGGCAAGTGCTCTACCACTAAGCTACATCCCCAGCCTTTAGGTGCTTTTTGGCCATTGAAGAAATTTCAAGACAAGTGATAACCTGAGCACTGGCTTGTTTTGTTCAGCCTCCTGAATTCCCAGAGCACTAAAAAGGAATGCAGTGTGAAGATGCCAAGACGGGGAAGAGGGGTTGGGGTGGTCAGAGGAAAGGGAAGAAAAGGAGGTCGGACAAGAAACTTTTTCTCAGGAGTGCTCTGTGCCCTCACTTCTCTTTAAGGGAAGCTGACCCAAAAGGAGCCATGATGAGCAGAGGTCAGCATGGCACTGTGGTCCTCTGTGATTCTCAAGAACTTGACAAACCATGAGCCCTCTGAAACCAAGGAACCCCGATGGACTGTCCAGTGACACCTCTAGAGTGGAATAATCATGGTGTTTTAGAGCACACCCCTGGTCTCTCTCTGCAGATTTAAGAAGATAATCCCAATCCCAGAGCAGAGCATGGTTCAGACGCTCTGCCACCTTCTCGAATGCCTCCTGACCAAGGAGGACATCCCTGCAGACTGCCCCAAGGAAACCTATGAACTCTATTTTGTGTTTGCTGCCATCTGGGCTTTCGGGGGTCCCATAGTCCAAGATCAGGTAAGAGGACCTGTTCATATTAACACCATGTTGAAATACACAGCAGCAAAAACCTGGCCCTACTGAAAACCCAAGGGAGAAAAGCTAAATGTTATATTCACTTGAAAGCATCAAGCGAGCTTCCTGCCCACTGCTCATAGTCCCCTTTGCAGGAGCCACACAACGTGAGAAAGGGTTGTGTGTGCCACATAGTGGGGGAGCTATCGCTCTTTGAGCTGAGGAACACATCTCTATTTTCACGGAAAGCTGTAGAGAGTTAGGGCTTAAACAAATGCTGGAATATGTAACTACTTTGCCAAGCAATGTGTCTTTTATAGAGAGCAGTGGAATAATGTGATGTAGAAACATAAGTGAAAGAAATAGCTCCCGTATTCCACAACATATCAGAAGGATGCACTGCTCTCTACCAAGCCAGAGCTACCCAGCATGTCTTCATATCCCCCAAACATAGTGCTGCTCAGACAAGACCAGGTCAAATGCTGTTATCTCTGAATGGGAAATCAGGTAGCATTTATCACGTGGTGTTAATTGTTGTAGCCTCAGCTGTTCGAGAATAGAGAAGCTGGCTCAGAATATCTTGGCATCTTATCCCTTAAACCTTTCTTTACTCACAACCTTTTTCTTTTCTTTAATATACTTTAGCTAAATATGACATGCTTAAAATTATGCAAACTAGTCTTTCATAATTGACTCTAGTTATCATGCAATATTATATAGATGTCAAGGACATAGACTCCGTTAGCAATTTTTTATGTATACTATAAAATCTTGTTAACTACATACACTACTCTGTACAAATTTGTCCATCTTAGACCTACTTGGTAGAAGCAAAACTTCATACCCTTTAAACCAAGACTTCCCATTTTCTGCTTCCTGCAGTCCCTGGCTGTTAAGATTCTAAAAGTTTGACTAGCTTAGATTCATTATATGTGTAATAGTTTTTCTTCTGTGTCTGGCTCGTTTAAATTAATATTTCCTAGTTTAATCCATATTGTCATAAATAGAAGGGTTTCCCTCTTTAAGAAAATTTCTAAGCATGCAAGAGGCCTGAAGTTCAGTATACTGATCCCAAACAACAATAATAATATCGATAAGAGTAGATGTGGAGGGAATGGGAGGTGATGGATAGGTTTATCCTTTGATTATGGTGATGGTTTCTCAGACATATACTTAGCCCCAAACTCACTAAGTTGTATACATTGAATATATGCAGATTTTTGTAACAATCAAACAACAGAAAAGTAGTTTAAAAAACAGTTAAGAAAAGCAAAGAGAAAAAAGAAGGAAGGAAGGAGGGAAGGAGGGAGGGAGGGAGGGAGGGAGGGAGGAAGGGAGAGAGTGAGAAAATATGGACTTTACATTTGAATTCTAAGTGCCAATTACCTTGGAGACTGTGGACAAGAGATTTAACTTGTTTCTACCTTACCCTCTTGATGTGTCCAAGGGTTGATGATAGTGGTACCCAGATCCTGAGATGTTGATGAGGATTGAGTGAATGCATGCTATCTAATCGTCCAGTGTGGATACAAGAAAAACACTGAGAATTGTGTTGACACACATACATGCTTATTACCAATATTCTGTAAACATGAATAGTCCTTCTATAGCAAGTATCTAGTGCTGTCTTACCACAGGAGACCAGACCAAGCTGCAATTCCTATAGAGTTATGTTGCAACCCTTCTGGTCTGGGTTGAATGTGAATTCTGTGTGTGTGTGTGTGTGTGTGTGTGTGTGTGTGTGTGTGTACATGCATGTGGTAGGAGATGTCACCATCAGATGTTTTCCTCAATCCCTCTGCATCTTGTTTTTTAAGACAGAGTCTCTCACTGGGACCTGAGGCTCATCCATTCATGTAGACTGACTGGTGTAGCCTAGAGATTCCTATCACTGAGATTACAGGCATACATTGCCATGCCCAACTTTTATGTGAGCACAGGGGATTGAACATGGGTCCTCATGCAAGCACTTCACCAATTTAACCACCTCCCTAGTCCTATATTATTGGGTTTTTTTCCAACAAAGGTAAAAATCTTCTGCCTTACAGAACAAAACCATGTTTGAGAAATCTGAAAAGCAAGTAAGCTGAACCAGAAGAACGAATACTTAGCTCCTTTTCCATGGGCACAGGCCCTCATTCTAACATCTACCCTCTATTACATGTTGCCCCAGAGCTATCTGCTCTGAGGGCAGAAAGAGCAGGGATGCACAGATGAGGAGTGTGACAGCTGAGAAGTTGTGCTGTCTTCTCTGCCATCCTGAGAAGCTTCTCTTTGGGTCGAATTTTTGACAGCTTCACAGATCCCCTTGAGACATGGCTGAAAAGCACAAAAGATCCACAAATGCAGACATTTATGCTTTCCTTCAAAGGCAGTCTCTGACCTTTCACTGCTAAGATGTCAGGCAGCAACTGCTGGGCTCCTCACCTATAGTGGAGCCAAACTGACAGTGGGGTATCAGGATGAAGACACAAGATCAATTTTCCTATCAATGTGGAGAAATTTAAATCTACTGTGTTCTTTCTAAAACCCTGGGAGAAAACATCCTTCCCAGGTGTCCTGGTCTCTGGAGCACTTGGAGCTGTGGGCAGCCATGCTGGCTCATGGGGAGAGACACAGGAAAAAGCTTTTAGCAGCAGGGAATGCCCAGAACCTTGAACAACCTACATTAAAGCCAAACACCAAAGAGAGTGCTGTAAATTGGAGAGCAGGAATTTGGCCAAATATTTGTTTTGCATCAGCACTACCAATGGTGTCTACATTTAAAAAGCTGTCATTAAGGCCATAGAGAAATACAAAAATGGAGAGCTTATGCCTGACTGGAAGGTCCATTAAAAATATTAGCAACAAAGTTTTGCTGAATACTTCACAACAATCAGAGGAAACATCTCCCACAAACACATGGTAGAGAGACCACAAGACTGGGGGTCTGAAAAACAGCATTTAAATCCTATTTCTGACTTATCATATATAAAATGGTGATAATTTTAACCAACTAGGACAATTCAGAATGTTGCGAAGATCAAATGTAGTTACATTGGACCCCAAACTCTATAACATGTTAGTGTCATCTGTATTAAAGGGGGTGGATAGAACATAATCTGAATCCACAGGAGATGGGATTTCACTGAAGTTCATCACTGTAAATAGCCCCACAGAGCTGACTCCAAAAACAACTGATGGATCCATCAGCTCAACACAGTGTCCAATCACAACAGAAGCTGAAGTCAAGTGCCATATTTGGGGGCTGAGAGAGACATCTACTAGTGGGGTTCTGAAGTCCGAGAATCTGACATTACTGTCTGGTCAGCATCTGGTGAAGGCCTCTTCCTGCTGAATTACAACAGGGCAGAGGGCACCCCATGGGCGACAAAGCATTTGAGCTACCTTAGGTCTCTCTCCCTCCTCATTTAAAGTCATGAAAGCTAGTATGGAAGCCTCACCATATGACCTCATCTCATCCTAATTACCCTCCCCCCAAAGTCCCCATCTCCAAGTATTTTTCCCATAGGACTCTGGGCATTAAGTTTCAATCACATGAATGCTAGGACACATCCAAACCATAGCACCTGCTGAAGAGCAGCACCTACCCCAGGGCATTCCCTACCTTCTGGTCCTTGTCACAGCTGATGCTCTGGGACACCATTCTTCCTGGAGGATCACTTCTATCCCACAGTCATACAAAGGCAGAAGCTCTTTCTGTCCCTGTCCCAACCTCTTTCAGTGCCAAGGCTACTTGCCTGGGCTCCTTGGGCTCTAGAAGACCTGCACCCTGACTAGTCTTGTCTTCACAGCTTATAGACTACCGAGCAGAGTTCAGCAAATGGTGGCTGACTGAGTTCAAGACAGTCAAGTTTCCTTCACAAGGAACAGTCTTTGACTACTACATAGACCCAGAGACCAAGAAATTTGAGCCTTGGGCCAAGCTCATCCCTCAGTTTGAATTTGACCCTGAGATGCCTTTGCAGGTGAGTAGGGTTGAGCAGCCAATGACACAGTGCCCATGAGGGTTCTCAGCAGCAAACTCCTCTTGATATAATACTAAGTGCTTGACTTTATAGGGACCAGTCTGCCCATCATAAGTATGATAAAGCCACAGGGTCTTTTAAAGGACAGGGAGCAAATATAGAACTCAGCTGTCATACTAAGGACAGAGGAGAGGAGATGGCAGGCCAGAAGACCCTGAAGTTCACTGGAGGGAGGCGGGAGGCAGAGGACAGTGGTGGGTGAGAGGGGGGAGGATCTCTGTTGAACTTCAGGGCACAGTGGGAGTGAGTTTATAAGACAGACATACCATGCAGGTTCAAAAAGACACTCAGACCTGTGCTTGTTAGGTGAACTCTACCATGACAAAATGTCCTCTTCTGGAATGTTCCAGAACATTATACGATGCACATGTTTCTCCTTCAAGCCCCTGGTATACACATGGAATTCTGTTCTAGGCTTGTTTGGTCCATACAAGTGAGACCATTCGTGTGTGCTACTTCCTGGAACGGCTTATGGAGTGGCAGCACCCTGTCATGCTGGTGGGCTCTGCAGGCTCAGGCAAGTCAGTGCTGGTGGGAGCAAAACTGGCCAGCCTCGACCCTGAGGAATACCTAGTGAAAAACGTACCCTTCAACTTCTATACGACATCAGCAATGCTACAGGGTAAGTGGTCTGGGAGGCCTGTGGTGTGGGTGTCTATGTGGCCCTGTCTCCTTATACAAAGATAGCACAGAGCTTCCTTGCTTACTTGGCTGGGCCTCTATCATGCACAGTACTGCTTTCTCCCTCACCCACAGACCTCTCTCTGGTGTCACCTCCAGAACCCCTTCACACTGCCCCCCCACATTTCTTCCTGTGTTCTATGGCCTCATTAAGTTCCATCAGAACAATGCAATGCCCTAATGTAAGATAATTGAACACCACTCAGAGGTCTGCAGTGGATTAGAGGCTAAGCCCTGGAAGTATCAACACACATCCACCTCTCATAGGATCAGAGGCTCAGGTAGAAGGATAGCTGCCTAAGGTCACACCAATCGAAGCCCATGATTCATCAGTCTTCTGAATTCATACGGGGTGGTAAGCTGTCCAAATGGTGTTCATATACTGGCTATGAGTGGAGGCAGGCTCCCAGAGTACAGCTTCCAGATTAGGCTCACTACAGACCTTTTCTCCTGCTGATCACTTCTCATTAGTCCTTTCTTACAACAGGGTCTTTATATATATATATATACACAGATATATATATATATATATAAAGAAACAGTCAATACATTAAAGAGAAACATATTTCTAAACTGGACATGGTGGAACATGCCTATAATTTCCACACTTGGTGGTAGAGGCAGAAAACTTCCCTAAGTTCATCACCAGTGGAGACTACATTATGAGTTCCAGAGCATCCAGGGCTGCAGAATGAGTTCCTGTCTCAAAAAATCAAAATAGAGCAAGCAAACAAACAAAAATAAACCAGCAGCTTGCATTTGAAGAACCATTCAAGCCAATGTCTCAATAAAGTAAAGGTAGAGGCAGGGTGAGGGAGGTGCCTTATGCTTGCCCTGGCAATTGTAGCTGTCACCATTGTGGAGAGAACACAGAAAAATGAAAGAACTGTTATTTTGGTATTCAGAAAGAAGATTTCCTTGTATTTGACATGAGTGATATTCTGACCTAAGTCTTCATCATTTTACTTAGTACTGGTTAACTGGAACTCTGTGTTTGTTGTAAGCCCGTTGCCTATGGTGTAAATACTCCCACCACTGCCAATTACAAGCTACTAATGTGACATCAGAGAACATGGAGTCTGTGGAGAAGTGCACTACAGCCTCCTGGTACTGCCACTTCACAGATCTGAGCAGTGGAGACAACCTTGAGGGTATAGATAGTGGTAAAATGTGGTAGATTCATTAGGACATGATGAGTTTTCAGTGTTTAAAATCATTATTCTTATTATAATGAATTATAAGTTTATTATTTTTTTGTCTTTTTGAAGCAGGGTCTCCCTGTAGCCCCAGCTGTCCTAGAACTCACTATGTAGACCAGGCTGGCCTTGAACTCACAGAGATCCACCTGCCTCTGCCTCCCAAGTGCTGGGAATACAGGCGTGTGCCACCGTGCCCGGCTGTAAGTTCATTATTTTTAAATAATGGTTTTATTTAACAACTAGCCAAGTGGCAGGAGAAAGGGTTCTACCAACAAATTAGAAAAGGAAAAGCGAGAAACCAAGGGTCACTGGGGAAGTAGAATATTGAATAAGAAGGCCAATGAAGTCAAAAGACAGCCACTTTGAACTTAGGAGAAGACTGAACACAGTGCAGCTTAGCTGGTTTCCAGGACAGGCAATATACATGGAAAAGCATAAAATGCACGTTTATATTGAGTCTACAGTGGTAGATGGTGGAGCACAGCCTAATTACTCATGTGGTGACTACTCTGCAGAACCACAGAGCAAAAAAATTTCACAGGGGTGAAGTTGGAATGATTTTCATAGCTTTATCAAGTGACAAAAGCAAGATACAGGACAATGTGTGCTGTGTGCTCTACGCATTGGTTTAAATGAAAAAGAAATACATAAGAGGTTGGAGAGATGGCTCAGCCAGGAAGAATATGTACTGCTCTTGCAGAAGACAATTCAGTTCCCAACACCCACACCGGGTAACTCACAACCACCTGTAACTCCAGCTCCAGGGAATCTGACAACTTCTTCTGGCCACTGTGGGCACCTGCATTCATGTGCACATACCCACACACAGATACACAGGCACATAATTAAAAATAAAATACAGCTTTAAAGAAAATAAATATTTTAAAATGAGTATATAAAATCCTTACAGGATGTTTTTAATTTATCAATGCATATACATCATGATGCATATATATTATCTCCCGTTGGGCAGAGAAGAAACTGATTAAGAGCAGTTGTCCCTAGCATGGGGGCAATAGATGCTGAGAGTAGGATGGATGATTAAATTTTATTTTTTGTTTATTTATTTTTATTTCATGTATATAAGTATACCTACATGCATATAAGTGCACCCATGCATGCATTGCCCACAGGAGCCAGCAGAGGTTTTCAGATCCCCTGGAACTGGAATTTTGGATGGTTGTTAGCCAAACCTAGGTCCTCCTCTGAAATCCACTGCTCTTAACTATTTAGCCATCTCTCCAGCCCCTAAACTTTAAAAAAAAATTTGCGATCATCACACATTAGTATAATCTTCACACCATTTCCATCCCTGACAGTCCCCCTCCAACTCCTCCCATGTCCTCCCAACTCCCTCTCAATTCCTTTTCCCTTCCTTGATTATTATGTAATATATACATACATACATTTAAGATGCGTGCATAACACACTGAGTCTATTCAGTGGTACTCCTGTATACCTGTGTTAGAGCTGACCACTTGAAGTTAGATAACCTCTCAAGGAGCTAGTCCCTGGAGAAAACTGATCCTCCCTTTCTCAGAATCCACTGATTGCTCTTCATCTTGAGGCAAAACCCTGTGAAATTTCTCCCATTCACCTTGGTATATCAACTGGTTTGTTAGACTACCATACTGTGGAGATTTCATTGGTGTAACTACCTTATCATGTCCAGAATGCCTTAAGTAACAGCAGATGTCTTGTCCTCCTGGCTTTTACATCCTTTCTGCCCCCTTCTTCCAGTATGTTCCTCGAGCTTAGGCCTTAAGGTGTAGAAGTTACATTGTAGATGTGTCACTCAGGACTGGGCACCTCACAGCCACTTATTCTCTACATTTGACCAGTTGTAGAACTTCATAAAGGTCTCTGTCTGTTGCAAAAAGAAGCTCCTTTGATGAGTGGTGAAAGTGCACTTGCCTGTAAATATGAGGATATGTATTTAGAATATAGTAAGAAGTTACATTGGTCTAGGGATGTGACAAAAGTAGGTTTTTCTCTAGGGTCTGTGCTACCCCCCGCCATGTGTACTTGGCTTTTTTTCAGTACCACTCATGAGTTCCCTCCAATTGAGCAGGCCATACATCCAATTAGCTGTTGATTACCCAAAAAAGAAAAGTGCCACTTGTGCTGGATAACTTTGGTGCCAACTTGACATATGTGGGTTGAAGGAGCCTCAATGGGGGGAATTTCCTTATCTATAGGACTGGCCTATGGCCATGTCTGTGGGGCATCTTCTTGATTGTTGAGTGATGTGAGAGGGCCCAGCCCACTGTGGGTAGTGCCACCCCTGGCAGGTGGTCCTGTGTTTCATAAGAAAGCAAGCTGAGCAGGGGCCAGGGGAGCAAGCCAGTAAACAACATTCCTCCATGGCCTGTGCTTAGCTCCTGCCTCCAGGTTTCTGCCCTGAGTTCCTAGATTGCGTTCCCTGATAAACTGTGACCCAGGAGTCCTAAGCTAAATAAACCCTTTCCTCCCCAAGTTGGTATTGGTCAGAGAATTTTGTCACAGCAATGGAGAAAAATTAGGACAGAAATAGGTACCAGAGAGTGGGGCACTGCTGTGACAGACCTGACATTAGAGGATTGTGGAACTTTGGGCTGAAAAAGCCATTGAATGCTTAGAGTTTGTTGCTGTGGAGCTTGGAGCAGTTATGCTGAAAGAGTTGTAGATGATGGAGGCCTAGCTTGTGAAGCTTCAAAGGGAAGCAGAGAATATCAGGGCTATTTGTATGATATTTTGAATTGAGAATCTGTGGGTTCTGGTCAGCTGGGGCTGAAAAATCAGCTGTAAGTAACAAGAGACCAGCATCACTGTGGTGAAATCTTCTGGGAAGCATTTCCTCAGGGTCAGTGCACAGAAGCTGTGGTTCAGAGGGGACCCTAGCCTCCATCTCAAGCTGGAAGGACTTGGTGATGTGTAAGAGTCTCCTTCATGGTTCTGATGTTGAAAGCATGAAGGGGTCACAGAGAGCAGCTGAGGCTTGGCACCTTGAGAGGACAAGAAAGGCCATAGGTGAAATTGCAGCTTCAGTTGCAGTGAAGACCCAATGATTGAAGGATCATGGAGAGAATCTGAGGCTTTGTACCTCAAGAGGCTTGAAGAGGCCATTGGTGAGGCCTCAGCCTCAGTTTCAGTGGAGACCCCAGCTTTTTGGAGATCCCAGGACTATGGGACGACCACCAAGGACAGCAGTAGGTATGGAATGGAGCTGGCCTGGGTCTTCGAGA